GTAGACGGTGCTGTCAGACGCCCTCGGGGTCAAAGGTGAGGTACGGAAGGAGCGCCGGCTGTTTCTTATTGGTCAGACAAGAGTTCACCTGGACACAGTGGAGGGACTGGGACACTACATGGAACTGGAGGTACACACACACACACACACACACGCACGCACGTCTCTCTAACCTTAACCATCAAAACTAAATCCCTGACCATAAAACGAGCTCTTTGAATTTGAGAGGACCGGACAACATGTCCTCACAATGCTGGTATTGAACCGACCGAACAATGAAGGCGTTTGTTTGAAGTTGTGCGATTTGCCAGCGAAGCCGAACACAGAGACCGAATCGTCCTGAAAGACAAAACAGGTGCGAAGTGAACTTGTGGAACTGAGTTTGGACTGAAGGTGAACGCACTGAACAATCTGTGTGTTTCAGGTGGTGATGCGACCGCAGCAGACGGTTGAGGAGGGACAACAGGTGGGTTTTCTATTCTCAGTCGCTGCAACTTGAAACGTGAACGTTCCTCGGATCAACGTCAACTTTTTTTATCGCACAGTGTTTATTGTCTCCTTAACGGCAGCATGCAGTGGCAGAATGCCAACATGATATAAACAGCAAATGTTTCCATGTAGTGATGGTTTATAATGAACTCTATATTTTCCACTATGTAAATAAAATGTGACCTTTTTGTTCAGAAATTCAGATTTTCAGATTTTGACCAATTAGCTCCATTCAGTCCGATTAATTGAGGACGACTTTGTGAGCGCTCTCTGGGTGAATTGTAGCCAATTTTGGTTCAAAGACAGGAAGTGGACCGGCTGATGGTGTGCAGCTTTATCAAATGTTGGGATTTCTGTCTTTTAAACCAATCAATCATTCATCTGACTAATCATGAAGATTCTGGTCTGTAAACTCAGATAAAACCGATTCTGGAAATTTAACCTTCAGTTCACAGAATTTAAAACTTCATGATTTTGGATTCTGTCACACCTGGTTTGTTTCAGAGCTCCAGAAAGTGAAATGCTAATTGGTTTATTTTTCAGGTGGCTGAGGGTCTGATGGAGCAGCTCGGCGTTTCACAGGAGAGTCTGGTGACCGGAGCGTACGTGGATCTGTTACTGAAGGGACCAAGAGAGACGTAAAACAACACACACAGGAACCGTATTTAGACCAAACAATACAATGGTCATTACTGTAACTACACTAATAGTGGCTCTGCTGTCGTATCTTTAGAGTCGTTAGTCTTTGTTTCCCATCGTCTCAGACTGGGAACAAGTTTGTTAGCTCAAAGCAGCAGGAGGATGTTTTTCTTTCTAAATAAATGAGCTGAGTGTTGAAACAAAGATCTGTTCATCTCTATGGTGTCTGTTTGCTCGACTGCTCCGGTTCTCCCTGAGAGGGAAACATTTCACTTTGTTGACGTTGACTTGAAACGTCGTCCGGGGGAAATTGAGTTTTTAATTTTGTTTAAAACATCCACGTAACATTAAACTCGCTCAACTGACCAAGACTAAGAAGAAAATAATGATTGTTGATCTTTAAGTCGTCAGAATTCACCGTCTGACTCTGCTGAGGACACGCAAGTTAAACCAGGCTTCAATGTCCCGCGGGTATGCGGTTGCCATGGTAACCAGACAGTCCTGTCATCAAGTCTGTTTCTGGAAGAAATTAAAATATAAATCCCAAACAGCAGCTCGGAATCAAACACAGAAACTCGACTCGTTCAAGTTCTGATGTTTTCACTCAAAGATTCTCTTCTTTTTCTTTTTCTCTTCTTTGTTTCACTTCAAATAAATAAGATGTAAGTGTACATGCTGCTCTAGGCCAGCAGAGGGTGGTGTGACCCAGCAATACAGCTGGATTCTCATCTTTACAGAATGGCTGCACATCTGGATTTCAAGTTTCCTCAAAAAACAAAGTCCTAAAGTGGAACTAACCAGTTTTCACTTTGAGTTTATTAAAACCCTGTCGCACTGGTGGTTGTAATGACGATGGTAATAATAATAAAGTGGTACTCGTGATTGTAATGTCCCTCAGTGGAGCCTCACGCTCATTCTTTTAGTGAAAATATAAAAGATTAGACGTCTTTGTTTGTTAAGGTGAAAACGTTCCTCTGATGAAACCACATTTCAATTCACTGGATCTGCACCAGGTCACTCATAGATATTGGTCCTTCAAACGTCTGATTGTTTTCACCAAAGTCCATAAATTTCTCTGAGAAATTCTCTAAAATCACAAAAACATTCCAACCAATAGAATGCAGGTGTAATGATGACAAATTAAATGGCCCCGCCCTCGTTGAGGTGACTGTGGCTGATGATTTGAAAAGGTCGAAGGTCACAGCACAAACGTAAAGCTAACACACGCACAATGAGGGTGGGGCCGTTTGTCATCACTACACCTGAGGTTCTGTTTGTCCGATCGGTCGGATCGGAAACTGTGTGAATGCGAGAAGAGCTGAAGCTGGAGCGCAAACGACAAAATATCTGAGTGCGAGCGCACTTTGGAGTGACAGCAGTGAAAGTCCTGCGCTCAAACTGAATTAAGATGGGGGGGGGGCGTTAACCTCCTGCCGCCAGTTGTGTTGCGTCTGATCGAGGCCGCGCCGATCGTCAGTGACCCGCCGGCTCTTAAACACAAATATGAAGTGGGTCATGTGACATGTTGCGCCTCTGGTCACGTGATTGGAGAGAGAGAGGCGGACGCCCTCCATCGACTCCCACTCACTCAGTGACGGGTGAGAGAGGGTCACGTGTGTAGAACACTCATGTGACCGCTGCCACGTGTGCTCTGATTGGTCGGATGTGACTCAGGAGAAGAGTCATCAAACAAAATCAGAAAATCTGTCGCGCAACAACGCTCATCGTCATTGGCCGATGATGATGAAGATGATGAAGATGATGAAGCTGAAGAAGATGAAGCTGAATCCCCCTCTTTTTTCCCCTATTGCATCGTTGCCATGGTGACGGGGCCACTCCTCCACACCCACGCTGCTTACCCCCTCTCTCTCTCTCGCTCACTCTCTCTGTGTTGGACTCCCTCTCTGACTCGTAAGTGAGAGAGAGAGAGAGAGAGAGAGAGAGAGAGTGTGTTTTCTAACCCACGCATTGGAGTGGGAGACAACATGCACACTCATACGTGCACACACGCACACACACACGTATGCACAGTGTGTGTCATGCTAGCAGTGTGTGGGCTGAACCGACCAGCCTTCCACTCATTCTGCCTCTCCTTCCCTCCCTCCCCCCCCCTCCATCTCTCTCCCTCTTCTTCCCTCTCTTTTCGTCTCTGATACACCTCTTCCTCCACTTCTTCCTCCTCCTCTTATTTTTTTCCCATCTTCTATCATCTTCTCTGTCTCTCTCCATCAGTCCTTTTTCTTTTCAGTTTATCATCATGGAGAACGAGTCGGTGATCTTTCTGGGTGAGTCTCTCTGCAGCTCTGTGTGTGTGTGTGTGTGTGTGTGTGTGTGTATATATGTGTGTGTTTGAATATATATATGTGTGTGTGTGTGTGTGTGTGTGTGTATATATGTGTGTGTTTGAATATATATATGTGTGTGTGTGTGTGTGTGTGTGTGCGTGTATATGTGTGTGTTTGAATATATATATGTGTGTGTGTGTGTGTGACTTAATGCTGCTCTGTAACTTCGTGACTTCATTCTGTTCATACTTTACCTTTTTCTTAATCTTTTCATCTCTTCCTTTCATTTCCTCTCCTCCTCTGGTTTGTCTTCATCTTTTCTTTCTCTCCTTCATTTCCTCTCTGCTGTTCATTTGGCTCCTCTCCTTTATTAATGTCCTCCTCTCCTCTTTCGATTTCCTGTCATTTTATTCTCTCTATCCTTCTTTCGTGTCCTGTCCTTATTTTCTCCCTGTTGACTTTTCCTGCCTCTCTTCCTCTAATTCTTCTTTTTCCTTCTATGTGTTTCCTTCCCAAACCGTCCTCTCCTCTCTTCCTCTCCTCTTCTTTTTCATTACACTCTTTTCACGTCTCCACTCTACCTTTCATTTCATGTCCTGTCATTCTTTCCTTTCTTTTTCTTCCTCTTCCCATCTTCTTGTTTGTTCCTCCTTTCCTTCCTTCATCTGCTCTTTTGCTCACTTTCATCTCCTTTCTCTTCCCCCTGTTGTAATACCCTCTCTTCCCTCTCTTCTTCCTTCCTTCCGTCCTCCTCTCTTTCCTTCTCTTGTCGTCTGATTTCCTGTTTCGGTTTCCTCCTTGGTGTGTGTTATGTAAGAGCAGCAGAGAGTGTGTAGGCTGTAATCTCAGACCGTCTATCCACAGAGATGATCTGCGCCCCCCCCCCCGCAAAAAAAAGAAATAGAAATCGAACCCTACAAACATCACGTGGTTGTCATGGCAACATGTTGGGCCTCAGCTGAGGGAGTTGACTATCAGACGTTAAACTGCTGCGTTAGCGATAGTTGGTTTTATTTTGAAATGCAGTTGTTCACGTCCATCTTATGAAAACTGAAGCAGGTTTTTGTCGCTGTTCCTCTTTTTCAAGGAAAATATTGTTTGTGTCGTTTTCGCAAACGTGAATTCAGAACTTTATCTGCAGCTAATTTGAGCTTTCACACGTCTTCAGCTGCTTTCAGACATGAATTGAAATCCTCACACGTTCTGGAGGTTCTGTATGTGAGAACAATGATGTGGTTTCTTTCACGTGACGGACGTGAAACTGAAGAACACAACTGTCTCAGGATGAAGAAGAGGAGCCGCACACGCAGAAGACGAAGACGTCCACTTGGAAAGACGAGGAGGTTCCAGRTGTTTTGGTGATGAGGGCCGACGCCGTGTGGACGAGCTGTAAACAACATGACTACACAACATGACTACACAACATGTACACACAACTACACAACATGTCAGGACGACAGATTAAATCTCAAGCTCCCTCTTGTGGACTGTGTGTCCTTGTTGCGCTGCAGTGGAAGGATGGCAACAAAACATTTATTGTAAATTTAAATTAATTAAAAATGATAATTATTATTTTCACACCAGGGGGCGGCAGGGTGCTGCACTGCAGTGGTTCACACTGTCGCCTCACAGGAAGAAGGTTCCCATTTCAAATCCAGATTCTTTCTGTGTGGAGTTCTCTTCTTCTCCTCATGTCTGTCTCAGATACTTCAGCGTCGTCTCAGACTCTAAATTGACCGGAGGTGTGAAACATTGTTCTCGTATGTTGGTCCTGCGACGCACTGGCGACCTGTCCAGGATGTACCCTGCCCCTCACACACCGTGTCTGGACGACCATTAGAGGATCAGTGGTTTATGATAATGAAACCAGGTAGTTCGAGGGATATGGAGTTCAGAGCTGAAAGAGCAGAAGTGAATTAGGCTGCGTTTTAGACCCAGTTTGCTGAAGTCGGTGGCTGATTTCACCAAAATGTCCCAAACCGTTGCAGAATCATTCCAGCATGAAGACGTGGAACCACCATTTTCAGGTCATGCTCATATGATGTGTGGCGTCTGGCGGCTGCAAGTCAAAAACACAAAACGTCCTCTGAACTGTGGGTGTGATTTAAAATTTAGATTTTTAATTAGGAATAACTGCGCACATTCTAGTCCTTGTTGCTTCTGTCATCTCCGCACATCGGACCCATCGTGTCCTGAAGTGTGAATGTGGCATCATTGGTTTCAGCAGTGACATAGTCGAGACGCTGGAAAGACATGACGAGAGCTTTTGAAGTGTCCTGGCCCTTTCAAATTAAATGTCACTGTGTGATTGCTTTATTTTTACCACTTGAAACCATCTTTACACTTTGGAGAAGTGTCGTCCATCTTTGTGCTTTAAATCTACCCTCTGGATTCTGTCGTCTTCATTTACAGTCTCTGGTTTCTACAATAGCCTTGAATGGACAAATCATTTTTGTCACCTGAAGGTTGCATTCTACCCCCTCACCACTAGATGTCCCTAAATCCCACACTCTGAACCTTTAATTGTTGTTGGCTGTAATGAACATTTCAGCCTCTAGGGGACGTTTAAAGCGCTTTAGGATTTTTGTTCTTGTTAAGAAGCGAGGAGAAGAAAACTGAGCAGATTTCACCTCAGTTTTTTTTGGCAGTTTTTTTGTTCCCAGTGATGTGAGAAAGTTGACAAGATAAAGTGTGTGTGTGTGTGTGTGTGTGTGTGTGTGTGTGTGTGTGTGTGTGTGTCCTGGAAATGCAGCTCCCTTGGCCATTGCCATGGTAACCAATGGCAGGATCTGATAATACACACTGGGTTTTCTCTCTGACACACACCGTGCTCACACCTAACAATGAAATGCATCTTCTCAGATCTGACCACAACTGTGCGGCTGGAATGTGCAGAGGGTCGAGTCAGGATCTTCAGATTCACGTGCACGTGAGACGAGGTGCAGCGCGAGCGCAGACACACGACGAACACAGATGCAGACAGATGCTCAACTTCACTGAGTCACGTAAAGAGCCGGACACTCACCTCCGCCAAATATATTAACACGTTAACATCCGAAACCCGTGTTGATGCAGGATGAGGGTTGTAAAGCACTGGAGGTGATAAATACGTTAAAGCAGCAAAATCTGGAAAAGAGTAAAAAGAAAACAGCTTTGATGAGTTTGATATTTGACTCAAACAATCAACTCATGATTTCAGCTGTAAAACAGTGAAACAATGACGTGTCAGTGACGCCCACTCCGAACTAAATGCAGAACAACATGTGGGTTCTCTGCAAAGTGAAGTTTGAACTGGATCCACGGTCAGTGGATCTAAAACAAGAAACACACAGGTCAGTGTGTGTGTGTGTGTGTGTGTGTGTGTGTGTGTGTGTGTGTGTGTGTGTGTGTGTGTGTGTG